AGAAATCCAAAATTAAGCTTGAAAAAAATAATGTGCCCTATTTGGACAGTGAGCCCCTCCCTTTCATCCGAAACAATTTCCAAGGGTGAAGTCCAGACAGTAAGTCATCAAGTTAATAAGTGAAGTGAATTTTATTCCTATTATACTTAAATATAATGTGTTTTTGAAGGAAGTGATTGCCTCCTATATATTAAGATATCCTTTAATGGAGCATTAGTTTTTTAGAAGAGGGCAATTGCCAGAGGAATAAATACTTTTATTAAACCCAAAGTTAKGATGTAGACCGGGAAAGCATAAAAATATTCTTCTCTTCTAAAATATCCCGGCTTATGATTGTGGATAATTTCATTATAAATATATATGTTTCATATCAAATATTTTTGCAGAGAGCTTTCATTTATTAGAAGACTGGATGCACATTTTCTAAGTCCTATCTTTTCCACATGGTATCAATAAAGTATTTTATATCTAAGCTTGCAATTCACTTTTCAAAGAACTGAGCACCCTAGCTAGCACCACTTCATGCTCTAGCTAATAAATGAAAGGCTTCTTATTTGATAGGAATACAGAATTTTGTCGGAATTTACCCCCAACAGGGCCTCCATTATTTGATAAGAATATTTATTTTTTATTCTCACAAAATTGTAAAATATACAGCTATTTCAAAAAAGSTTTGTGTAAGCTTTTGTTGCATGTTGCATACCATGTCCAAAATGCAATATGGGTGATAAGAATGAGAATTTTCCCAGACTTTGTTTACACGTTTTTTTGGCATATTTTCTTCTGTGCTGACATTTACATATGGATATTTTATACTTCAAGCTTAGWAAGCAGTATGCAACAAAACCTTAACCAATCTTTTGAAGTAATCTGTATATTTAGTCTAGTAAACTTGATGCTGCAGGGGCGGAGCAGACAGGGGGGCTGGAGCCACATATTCTCATAATCTAATTAAGGGGTGATAGCTATATCCTCTAACTCCCTATATATCTATATCAGTCTATAGACGGCAGAAAAACAGTTCGCTACTTTATCATGATTTTTTAAATTAACTGGAGTGAAATACTCCAAATTTTTAAGCGTTTCAGTTGTGTCACTGCTGCTCGAAATTTGAGATGAAATTTTGTTGAATTAGAGTAAATCCTGACTTAGTATTCACGAAAATGTCAGTTTTTATGCTAATCAAAATATCACCTCTCCCAAAGTACACTGCTTTATATCTCAAATACACATTCCATGAATTTTGGTGGCATTTGATATTTTGCTATTTGGCTCCAAAAGAATGTGTTTACAAAATATTGCGCGAAAGGCCAAAAACCATTTTTCTGCCCTGTCATATCTATATATATCTATAGATATAATTATTTATGATTAAATAAACGATTAATTGATTGATTGATTGGAACAAATATTATGTTAAATAAATTTTCACTCTTTGAGCGAGCCATATGCATACCCAAGCTAATAGCACTTCTTCAGCAATCAAACTTCTATAGAATTCCTAGAAATATTAAATAGAGGATATTCCATGGGCGCTTGGAGGTACGAAATTAATCACCTTGTGTTGAAAATCTCTTCAACACTCAAAGATAAATTTCGTATCTCCAAGCGCCCATGTAATATTCTGTTTATTATATAATTATCCATAAAATCAACTTAATCAGGTTTTTATCATTATAAAGAGTTTTTATTCATAAACTAATAGATTAAATATACATGGTAACGATATTTTCACATGTGAAAATAACATGTTATTTTCACATGTGAAAATATCAGTTTTTCAAAAAGGAGAAATATAGGTATTTTATGGATAATAATATGATAAAAAAATTCTTTTAAACAAAATACCACCATGGTATATATTGATTGAGCTTGCTTCAAGTGGTTCTGGACTAATACTCTCTTTTCTTCTTTGTCAGATCAGACCAGATCATTATAGTGCCATTGGACTCCTACTGTCTTCTTCAAGTTCAATCAAAGAATGTTGAACCTCAGCCATTCTTTCTACCTCAACTCTCACTTTCTTCTGTTGAACATAATGAAATTTCTTTGTTTCAGATGTTTTGGATATGACAAATATGAAATATACTGGTATACCAATATTGGTATTTAAGTTCACTCTTTAAATGAGCCATATGCATACCCAAGCATAGACTCCTCCACAGGCTACTCCATGTATTCTATATTCTCTGTTGGGATCCCTGTATTAAATTTTATGGAAGAGAAGAACTAGGAACAAGAGAGGAGGAGTGGGGACAAGGGAGGGAGAGAAGAAGCGAGAGGAGAAGCATCTCCTCTTCTTCTTCCTCTGTCCCCTCCCCTTTCCTGCTTCGTCTTTTTGTCCTCGCCACAGGAAGCCAAAGTAGCAAAAAGAGCCAAGGAGATGCCTTCGGAGGAGGCTAACCCAAGCTAAGAATACTCCTTCAGCAATCAAACTAATGAATTCCCAGAAACATTAAAAAAATTGTCTTGAATAATACCACCATGGTTCTCGACTTACTCTCTTTTCTCTTTCAACGTGATAATCATCTGGATTTCTTATGTAAGCATTCATTTCAAGATCTTCACTGAGTGTGTGGTTAGCGTTGGCATCTCCTGGCGGCAGAGGTTGCTGATTCTCAACATCAGCATTTCCTTGTGCTATTGCTCTTGATTTCCTCTGTTGAACACATTGTAAAGAAGTTCCTTTGCAGTTTCAGATGTAATGACAATAATATAAAATGTGGATTTTTCATACTCATGCAGTCTTGAGGGTTGTCCAAAATAGACAACTAGATTCAAAAGGTTTTTGGTTTTTCCATTAGAAACTAATTGGGATGTTTGGATGTTTTGGATTACCTGTGTTTATATACATTAGATATTCATTGTATGCTTGGGTTACCTGTATAAATGGTCATATGATATTAATTTACCATTGGGTTACCTGTGTACTGAACTCAGGCCTTCGGATGTCTCACTTTAAGACATAGCTAAAGTGGACACTTTGAAAAAAGGTAGCACCAAAAACGTTTTTTTATGGTGGAACCCAACAGAACTAATGAGTCCATTGGATCCATTGGATCGACTTAGCAGATCCATTGTGAGTTATCATGCTTGGTCTACCTGTATTATAGTTCAACCGCATGAGGAATTTACATAGCTTGGGTTAGGGGTTACCTGTGTATTAAAGTCTCAGGGCATGAGTAGGGATCTAGAAGGTATTCCAATGGATCGAATGGATCCATTGGAAAAAGGCTTTTTCCATTGGAATTTTTAGTCGTTCTAGTTGTGAATTATCATGCTTGGGCTACCTGTGTATTTAAGTCCGACCGCATAAGGAGGCCCCCAGAAGGTATTGGAATGGATCAAATTATATGCAAAATTGTTATTATTTTTAAAATGACATTGTTTGTATTAAAGATATGAATAATTTTGTACATATGTTTTTATGGTTTTTGTTATAAGGGGGATTATTAGGCAACCTTAATGCAATAACAAATGATGAATTTTGATATGAGTGTGAAAGAAAATACTTCAGCAGCTTTATATTTGCGATCGTTTGACCCAGTGTTTCGAAAACGACGCTTATCATAATATGTGAACAGTTTTCTAGGTAGTTTTAGGGTGTTGACCAGTAGAGGACTCTGAACTAGTAGAAAATACTTCAGCAGCTTTGTATTTGTGATCGTAATTGACCCAGTGTTTTGAAAACGAGGCATATCATAATATGTGAACAGTTTTCTTGGTAGTTTTAGTGTGCTGAAATGACACTCCACGTTTTACTAGGTTAATGATAGATGCACGCGGTTCAACAACTAGAATAGATTTGACTGGTCTTGAGGATTAAGCTTGGCTTTACAGAGGAAGCCCAATATGAATATCTTAGCAGCTTTACACAGATACACAAGTAACCCAAAATGAAATGAAATATGATACTACAGGTATCCCAGTAAAAAGGGGCTTCCTGTAGTAATGAAGACAGGAAACCTAATCCATCTAAATGTTCACCATTAGATTGCAATGGTAAAGCCAGATCTCCATTGGAATCTAGCCAACATTCTTGTTGTCGAGTCAAAATATCTCGTCCGCGTCTAAAGTTTTTGAGCTAGTCGTTTGCGTGTTTCTCTCTAAACTTGAATCCCCTTTCATGTTTATCTAAAAATTCTTCATTAAGTTTAGAAGATGTAAATTTCTGATAAAGATTTTGGAAAAAATCATAGTT